GAGGGAGAGAGCGGGGATGAGAAAAGTGCGGGAATGAGCCTATCCAAGAGCCTTCCAAGGGTTTTAACAAGTCTAACAATTCGCTTGTTGGGGGAGACAAACCCTGCAAATTCATGGTTTGTTGGCAGCCTGATTAGGGCCTACACTCCCTGAGAAATGTCGAACGTGGAGGGCATGGCCCGATTTTGGATGACTGGAACGAAGAGCGGTGGCGAGCGAGCTTACAGGTCCACGTTTTCCCAGGATGATTTGCAGGGAGTGTAGATCCCTAGGGCTCCAACCACCTCCTGAGAAGGTGGTTGGGGTGGGTGCCAGGGGGGTCTAACCACCGAACCTGAGGATATGGTTGGAGTTCTAGGGGATATGGATTTTGATCTACTCCGGACATAGTGGCCATACGCGATCACAAGTGAAGAACCAGTGACCTGAGCACCTGACCCGAGCGTTTCATTTCAATTGGCAGAACACTTGGATCAACGATTGATTTCAATATCACGTTTGCATCTTGCAACCCAGCACCCCTGCAGATCAGCAAGGCTTGACGATTTCTGAGAAGAAACCAAGTAACTGTGAAGACTTATATGATTCACTTTACTGCATGTATACAACCCCCCAAATATGTATTGGACACCGTGCCACTATCTATTTGGAAGCCATATATCACAAGTTACGAACGCCGTGTGGTAACCCTTCACAGTCAATTCACCTCCCGAGGACAACCAAGCACTATGAGGATCTATGACCCGCATGTCATTCAGTCCAAGCCTCCAAGCCTCCAAGCACCTACCTCTTTCGAAGCCCTGGTCCAGGGAAGTTCCAGGTTATGGTGGTTCCCCAGTCCCAGGAAGTTCGGTCGTCCGAAACAGTCACCTGGCGGCGGTATCTTCGAGAAGTCGCTTTTGCGCAGAGAAGTCGAAGTCGCGGATCAGCGAATCAGCGAATCGCCGCGAAGGATTTGAGACAAGACACCCCCAAAACCCGTGGTTTAAGATGTTTCAACAAGTTCACAAGTAGCAGTCACGTTCAGAAAAGTACGGGGTGCGACCCATGGAGGCTTTCGGAGTGTTTTTGGGGGTGCCCCTGTCACATCCACATCCACTCATCGTGCTCACGTGCGGGACTGGTCCGGCGGACGTGGCTGGACGTGGCGAACAATTGATGCCTTACAACCATCGTCTGACCTCCACGGAAGGGGAATTGTGCCAAAAGGAGGCCCATGTGTTTGAGTTCTTTTGGTTTAATTTCCCAGGCCTGGTCGAACACGTTCACAGATGGGTGATATAAGAATGCTATACATCACCATTTGTGTCGTTTTTTTTTTCTTTTTAACGGTTCTTCGCCAGGTGAGCTTTCCCATTGAGATCACCTACGATGAGAAGAAGTTCTCCTTTCATGTGCACAGGTGGGATGTTGATCCGTTTGTCCCCTCGAGTGGCGGGATGACTGGGATGACTGGGATGTCGAACCCGATGGATCTCTTTTTTGAACCAACCTCCCCAGATCTTGTTCCTTTCCAGTCAAAACAGTGGTCATGTTGCTCTAGGCATGCGATGTATTATACATCATGCAGCCAAAAGGACGCTCGAAAACTGGTTTGAGCACTCCTTGCCCGGCGTCCAGACGTTTCCGTGTTACCCAAAGTGGTCCCTTCAAAACAGACGGCATCAAATCATTTCAATACATCCGGGAAGATTCACATTCACGCTGAAACCACGGAGTTTTGCAGAGGAACATCATCTTCCAGTCGGGTGCCATGCCAAGCCCGGTTCCGGCCCAGTGGAACCGGCGAACAGCACCGGTGACGTTCGCTTTGGCAAAGTGATTCCCAGACACTCCATGTGTGCCATATATGCCTACATTGACCCCCAGTCAACCACCCCAACTGATCGGCATATATGGCACACATGGAGTGTCTGGGATTGTTGAGGTGGAAGGGCGATGGCGGGAGAATCTATGGGCTTTGGTCGATTTGCTTTGGTTCAGACTGAGGGTCATCTGATGGATCACCGATAGACTACATATGGACCAAACAAGACAGGACACCCAATAGACTACAGGATCCGGGTGAAAGAATCTCCGGTCCTTTGATGGCCTCGAATAAGTCAAGACCACATGACCATTCACGGAAAACGGTTCTGCGGGACATTGAGTTGTTTTTGTTCCTCCAGCGATGCCATTGGATTTTGGAAGTTCTGAATCTGCACATGGGTATCAGCAGCTAGGCATATTCCTCTGAGGCAAGTGAGCCACGCGAACTCTAAGGGACACTTGAGCAACTTTGAACATGTAGTCCTAGACCCTGACCCCCTAAACTCAAAAGCATTCAAAGCTCGTACAACATGTAGCACGCATACCCTTTCAAACAAACAGTTGAGCAAACTGTACAGTGTTGGATGTTACGAACAGAGGGGCACAACATGCGCAGACACGGCTCATACCGGTAGGTAATGAGTTGCATGGTTTTTCCATGTTTTGCCTACATGGAGTCACCCAGCTTGCTTGTACAGGAAGGTTTTCTTTAGACCAGACATAGTTTCAGGGTTGAACCACTTGCAATGTAGACTGTTGACCAATCAACCCCCAAATCCACTCCTGGGGGGACCTTGCGGGTCCGGGAAAAGCTGGTTTCTGTGGCAGATCGCAGTTGGGGTCGCGGCATGAAGCTTTGGATCTGCTTGTTCATCGCCCCTTAACTCACCAACTCCACCGCTGTGTTGATTCCAGGAACACGCCACGGAGCGCACCCGCGGCACCGCAGCTTGGGGGGGACAACCCGCCAGCTCCCGGGAACCACACACGCGCCACGCGCCAGGACCCGGTCGGACATGTACGCCTTCACCATCAACGGGAAGACCCTGAAAGCCAAGGCGGGGAGAACGGGGAGACCGCCGGGCCCGGGGAGAAGGGCTCCCTGGGTCGACGAAGCCGACGTGTTTGTGGGGTCGGTGCCAGGTGTTTGTGGGGATGAGTGGGGTCGGTTGGGATGGAAAGTTCTTGTTGGGATGGAAGATGGAAGGTTCTTCCGCTCTTTGACACCTTGTTCCGGGACGTTTGGGTTCGGATCGCCTGAAGGATGGAATCCCAGGTTAGGATCGCTTGGCCGTGCAAACAATGGATCCAAAGTGATTTGACGATTCCCATGGCCCCCGCCAGGAAGGGAGCTTTGGAGAAGTTTGCAACAAGTGACGCTCTTCCCTGACTCTCCCCATTTTCAGGGGGTTCAGACTTGCTGCTAGGAGTTTTTATAGGGATGGTACATGTTGAAGCATAAGTTGAAGCATACATATTATATATATGATATGATAATTGATTCTATGTGTATCGATGTCCCGGACGTGGAAACAGCTGCAGAAACAGCTGGGTGCTTGCTCCGACGAGCCGAACGGTAGCTCCACGTGTCTCCTGCGGGTTCGGCACGGGGTGCTCCTCGTGCCGGTCGCCGAGCCTTGGACGGTGGAAAACCGAGCCATGGACCGCGGCGCACCGACCGGCGCCGGAAAAGAGCAGAAATAAAACCATCAGGATTCAGTAGTCTTTCATGCTACAACATACTAAAACTATCTTCAGGATTCGTCCCCGCAGCTCCTGCCCCCCAGGTGCGCGAGCAGCCAGATGGTTCTCTCTACGTGAGCCTAGGCGCGGGGAGTTGGATCGGCCAAAGGACTGGTGTGGTTTGGGGTCTCAAATCCGGTTTTGAAGGGAGAGCGAGTACTGGATTGGTCGAGGGTGGCTCAAAGAGCCAGGAAGAGGAGCGTCTGGGTTGGTTTTCTGGGAGAACCTCCCCTCATGTACAACCAAAATTAGGCATATGATTGTATATGCACATTACATACTATAGGTGTTATAGCTATGTATATTGTGTACTATACCTAGAATCTGAACGACGGAACGACCTCTACATTGGACCACAAACCACCCAAAACATGGTTTGTTCCTATCAAAACAGAGGTCAAACGGGTTCCAGGTAGATATATGTAGCACCGGTCCCTCTTTGAAGGTTACAAGATGTTAAAAGGACATCATTGCTTTGGAGTCACCAAACGTTATCCAGCATGTGGCGTGCGTGACTACTACTTGGGATTACGTGGGTTTGTTTAGTCCTGGGAAAGGCAAAGCTGTTTGCATTCCATTGATCTCGATGATATAGTATGGCCATTTATAGGGGCAGAAGTTCTGTGTGGAAGGGGATGGCTGGCTGCAGATGGCTTTGCACCCCGTGGCAAATCAAGAGAATGGAGACGGACACAAGCCGTAAAGTCGTGGACATACTATGGACACTCCCTCAAACAATCATGGAAGTGGACTCACCTGTTTGATCTTCGGAACATGGTCATCCGAAGACATGATGGGCCAGGCCATGCCCTCCACGTTGGCCCATGATGACGAGTGTAGGTCCGGGTGCACTCTGTTCTGCATGACACGTTGGCCCATGACTTGCTTCCTCTTCCCTCGTCGGCCAACTTGATGTTTCCATTTCCAGAGTCCACCCCAGTCCGAGCATGAGACAAGGTACATCCAGTGGGTGCTGAAGCTAAGCTACATCTCCCTCAACAGTAGAGCCATCATGAGCCATCCAAACGCACTGCCAAAGTGGGTCACGGGGTCATATAGGGGTACACTCCCCCAAAAAAGAATTGGAAGTGGCATTGCTGACTGCTGCTAGAAAGACAATTTTCATCCACTCCACTTCCATCATGATTTCAGAGAGTGGGTTCATCCAGGATCTTTGGATCCCTGCCACCACCAAACCCTTCTCAGCTGTCCGGGGAGGGGTACTTGTCTGAAGCATGGACCGTGCCGTCCGACGTGCTGCCGTTTGCCACGTAAGTCCAGTGTGAAGCTTCGGGTGCACACGAGACCTTGTACACGACCACCACGACGTGGACGCCGTTGGGAGGCCTAGCTACTTCAGGCTTCGATTCTCTCATCGCTTCACTTTGACACAGGCGACGGAGCTATGGGGCACACGGCATCCAAAGACGCCCATCGATCACCGCCTCTTCGGTACGGTTTTCGCACCCTGGACCGAGCCCGCGCCGCGCCGAGCCCGCCATGGCGGCGCTGGAGGCTGCGTCCGGCGGTGGGTCGGAGAGGTGCGGGTGAAGAACTACGGGGCGGGGGCGGCGGCGGAGAGGTGGAACAGCGGGTTGATGCATGTTGAGGGTCTCCAAGTTCCTCAAGTTTAGCGATTTCAGGGGTAGTACCACATAGTACCACCATGTACCACCTAATTAGGTATACCAGTGCATTATACCTATATCTAAGGTAATTAGCTGCATGCTGGTTGGGTGGTTGCAGCTGACGAAGACATCACATGGAAGGGTCTCCGACACAGCTGGTTTTTAGAGGACCGGCGTGTGAGCGAGTCAGAGTGTCATGTCCGTTTCCATGCCAGGTCCGTTTGCATCAGTTTGCAGACCCCGACCTGGACCCGACTGAAGTCCGTGTGTTTCCTGGTGACAGGTGCTCAGGTTCACCACCTGCCACCACCTGTTAGGCTTCTAAAACCACCGGACTTGGAAGGTCCTGGTGATCCATTCGGGTGGATCCGCCATCGCGGTCGCATGGGTCGCCGGAGCTGAACACGGAGGGTGGACGCAGATGGCGGCACAAGACATTGGGTACTATCTAAAACCCACTGGCAAGAAAGAAGAAGTAGATTGCATCCAAAACCTGTGTTTTTTTTGGGGGGTCTTACCTTTTGTTTGTATGCCATGTTCTGTCAAAGATGCTTTTCAATCCTGCACATGACCAAGCTGCCAATCTTTGGAGAGGAGCAACCACCTTTTTCGCCATCGAACAAGTTGACTAGTTGAATAGAAATGAGAACACGTGTTGTATGATCAGCTTCAAGAATCAACAACCTGCCGAGTTCAAGAGAAACCGATCGCTGCCTTCGAGGACCCACAGCTTGCCGCGCTTGCCGGGCTTGCCGTTCCACCAACGGCCGTCCGTTGGCACGTGGAAAGTTCCACAATTCAAGCCCCGCGCAGTTTATCGAGTGCCTTGGCCTTCAGATTGTCTCGGTGGTGTCTCGGTGTCTCTCCAAGAGTGCACTCGCTCAGTTTCCGCATGTTCCCACGAATATTGGGTCTAAAAGTGCGTTGAGGCTGAGTGGACATCACTCCCTTTTTGAGCTTTTCAACGTTGGCCCATGATTGTTTCAGGGGTTTGGGCTTTTCAGAACATATTTCCTTGGAGTTGGGACAGAGCCCTACCCAGGAAGGTCAGTGGATGACCAAAGTTTGGGGGATTGGGTTTTGAAGACTCCAAGAAACATGAATCATATGGAGAAAGGTTCACTTTCTGTTTATTGCCACAAAAAACAGAGAGAGAGAGAGTCTGTTAAAAAAAGAAAAACACACAAAACACACACACACACACACACACCAACCACTGCAACGGGTGGCAAGTTCGGTTCAACTGGATGTCTTCCCAATTCTCCTGCTGAGCTCCTCGGATCCGCGGCATCCGCGCGAACCGACGGATGCGGCGGATGCCAGCGGGTGCGACTCAATGCCTTCCGGCACCGGCGAGCGACTCGGCTCAGGATGCAGCGCGACGCGTGCCAGTGCCCCCGATCCAAGAGGTGAAGCTTGGAGAGATGTCGGTCGTTGCCGTGAGGCTGGTGGAACAACCTGGGATCGATGGATGGACATAAGTAGGGGAGCTACAGGAAGTTCCCAAAGCACTTACTAGAAGAGGGTCAATGGATACACAAAATAGAACCTAAACTGACTGTTTTTTTGATAAACATGATCTCAAAGTACATACCCAGGGTTGGGCTCCCTATTTTTTCAACCCCCTTACCCTATTTTTCCAACCCCCCCTATTTTTTCAACCCCTCCGCCCTATTTTTCTA